CCCCAATCATCCCACAAACCTTAGTCCTGCTTGGAGTCTCATTGTTAAGCAAATTCCTGGTGCAACCTCATGAGTGAGCAATTGGGGATTCTGACCTCTGTCTAGGCCTCCTGCCTCGGCTCCTGCTGGACCTGAGCTCAGCCTGGCCCTGTTCTAGGTTCACTAAACTCCATTTCAGGACTGACCCATTTGCAAAAACCAAGCCCCCTCCCCTGACCCAAGGCCATCCCGGTCCCAGGTCGTCCCTGATGTCTGTCTGTGCAACACTCATCTGAATACATTTCCTCGTTTTGAGCCCACTTCTTGGAGCCTGAAATTTCCCTGCTTGAATCTGAGAGTCAGACTGTGGCTGAGGGTGGGATAGACCAAGGTGATCAGAGTTGAGTTCATGCCTGCAGATCACTTAGAACCCTCTAATCAGAGGTTGTTTTCCATGTTGTCAGCACATGGCTGTCCGGGGTTATTGTCGGATGGCTCGTCTGGGTTATTACAAGACTAGTTAAACTTTAACTCCAAACTCTTCAAACGTGTGATCTTTTGAGACTGCTGGTTAACATTTTCTGGACTCACTTTCTAATTGAATACAAGGACTGAAAATTAACTATCACCATTTGGAAAAAAAGGCAAAGGGAAGTTTTCATGATAAAAAGAGAAGAGTTTCAGATTCTTTCTTCCCACACCCTAAACTAGATCACGCGGTGGCCAGGCCAAGACCACATCAACACCCTGGCGAGAAGCTATCATTTCTTCTGTAGTCTGTTTTCCTCCCCCAAATAGGAGATGATGGATTCACATCTTGACTAAATAAGATCACTGCTCTTTTATGGTTCAATCTTGATGGATGAGTACTCCCTACCTAGCCCTGTGCCAGGTGCTTTTAAAGGTGGAGAAGTATAAACAGTTCCTTTGTTCAGAGAACTTAAAGTAATACAAGACGTAAGTATGAGGAACTTGTAGAAAGTAATACAAGGCCGAATGTGACCCCGTGCTTAACTGAATACCTGCCAAGCTACGTTCTTTGCAAGTTCAGAGTTAATGTGCAATACCAAGACCACTGTCCCAAAAATAAATACACAGGAGGAGTCTGATTCCAACAGGTGTTACAGAGAACGTTTGGTCTCCATGGGATACTTAAACTAACAGTTCACAAAAGAGTGCTTACTACCTGCGAGGCATTAGCAAAGCCTTTTATGTGTGTATTGAGTCCTCCCAACAACCTCCTGAGCTACTGATAACGTTAATATTCCTGTTTCCTTCAGCTGGGGAAACTGAGACTTGGAGACACTAAGCCATTTGCATATGGCTGTACTGTTATCGGTGGTAGAGCCAGAAACGGAACCTGCGAAGTCTGAGTATAGCCTGTGTTTTAAATCAGTGAATGTTATGGGGCAGGGACCAGAGTTACATAGAACTTTTTCCTATAGAAATTCTCAGAGCCTTTACTGTGTTCAGGAATACTGTAAAACCTCTATGAAAAAGTGACATTTTTGCAAATGTATTTGACCTCATGATCCTCTTTTTTAGCCAAGGATCTCCGAGGATTAGTGACCGTGAAAACATACCTAGAGCGGAGCATCCACAGAATCTTATGTGCTTGACAGAAGGAGGGTGGCTACGGTCCTGAGCTAGGTCAGGGCTGCCTTGGGGACCACACAGGCTGCCCTTGGCCCCGACCCAGACATGGCATCGCCCCTCAGGTTCAGGCTGCTATTTGTAACCAGCCCAGTGTCCATTTTAAACGGTTCACTAGCCTTTCACTCTCCTCCTGCTGGACTATATTCTCTTAAAGCAAACAGACGGACTAACGGCATCAGACCTGCACCTCTCAGGCCTCACGCCAGTTCCCCTGTCTGGGGCTATTCAGTGGAGACTGGATACTTCTGAGTGGTGTCATAGAGACAAAGCCTCTCGTGTCAATTCGTTTTTGTGATCTGGCCCTCTGGGTCTGTCAGGGGAGGGAGCGGTCAGCAGGGCTGAATCTTGCCCTGTCTGGCTCGCAGGAGGTTAGTGACACAGGGTAAGAGTTCCACTGCCCACCTTCTGAAGGTTTAATGAAAATACACACACATATACACACATAAACACACACTCATATACACATACACAAATAGACACACACATGCACACATAAACACACAGACACTCACACATATACACACATGCATACATACACACGATGCACGCTGAACATGTCCTGACTCGAGCCATTTGCAACGTGTGCTTTTGAAGAATGGATCCCATGTGAGGGAGACAATGATGGGAGAGTCAGGCCAGCTGAGCAGCCAGAGCAGAAGGGTTCTGAGCCCAAGGTCCTACCTGCCCGAGGAGTTCCGGTGGAAATAACAGAAGTGGAACTCCGTCCCGAAGCTCCCACTGAGGGCCAGGCAGCATGCAGGTGCCATTCTGAGAACACGGCAGAGTACGTTTCTCTCCACACTGAAGTGGAGTGGGGAGGCGTTTGCCTGGACACTGGTGAGTTAGGGTTGCGGAGCTGGGATTTTAAACGAGGTCTTCGGACTTCAAAACCAGCTCCTCTAAAGATAATTCCCAGCCATAGCCTCAAGAGGAGAGGCGAGAGCAAACCAAGATCAAGGCCAAAGGCAAGGTCAGAGTCCAGAGGTGGAATGGAGGGCAGAGCCAGGAGCTCAGGGCTTATCCGAAGTAGGGATGCTAGTCTGTTTCCTCACCTGTGAGGTGGGAACAGTAATATCCATCTTCATGGTCATCCACGTAAAGCACTTGGCACAGTCCCTAGAGCACAGTAAGTACTCAGTAAATGTTGGCTTTTACTCTTCGTCTCAGATCCATGGTCTAAAGGTACGGACAGAGAAAGCACATTCTCCCTGAGGGCTGAGATCGTCTGAGCTGACCTCTCTCACCTCAGTTCTGTGGCTGCCTAGGGTGCAGACATTTTTCACCCTTCTTGCCCTTTTCTTTTCTAAATTGTATTTTTGTGCCAGTGAAGTGTAACCTGTAGATGCCTCATTGGGCTGATCAGCAGAGCTATGTCTCTGTCCTTGGCAGAGAGGGTCGCCCTTCTCCAAACACATCAGCTCTTTTGGTTTTAGAGGCCAGCTGACTTGGCCCAAATCCAGGCCCTGCTGCCAGCTAAGTGGCCTGGAGCCAGTGCAGCCACGGAGCCTCAGCGTCCCCGTCCGTGACGTGGGAGGAGTCAGGCCTGCTCCACACACAGCTGCGAAGGTAACACATGGCAGCCCCCTGGCACTGTGTGGCTGCAGGCTCCCCTCCTAACGGAGCACACTTGTCTTCGAGGGAATTCTATCCCCTTTGGGACTCAAGCTTCTCAGAAGACTCCAGTCCCCTTCCAGCCTGCAGCAGGGGTTCTCACCGGCCCCCCTTCAGCAGAGGAAACAGCCCATAAACTCTTTGAGGGGCACCCTCCCCTCCCACTCAGTTTTACCTCCCCCCACCCTCACCCCCAGCTCCCAGCATCTGTTGCCCAGACAGTCAGCTGCCAAGCTGTGCCCAGGTCTCTCCCTGGGTTCATTTGATATGTTGTCACTTGGTTTTTGAAGAAAAGCCGGTATCAGTGCTGGGCCCTGGGGAGGCAGATTCCGCCTCTGCCAACTGCCAGCCGTGAGCCGTCTCTCGTCTTGCCCTGGGAGTCCCAGGTGATCCCGTGACAGAGTGTCTCTTACCAGACAGCTGCCACTGGGACCCCGCGGAGGCACAGGCAGCAAACCCCAGGCTTTGTGGGGACTAGGGGCATGCCCTGAGCACAGCTCTGCAATTCTGTTGAAAGGCTGCTGGTCATGTCTACCTTTCGTGATAAGGGCAACTGTTGTCTCATAACAACAGCTAGGTGCTGCGACCTTGCCTTGCAGAGAGAGGGGGACCATTCCCCCTCAATGAACGCTCGCTCTGTTCTAGGCACTGGAGGGGGATTTGCCCTGGGTCCCCGCCCCCCCTAGCCATGCCAGGAAGGCCTTACCATGGCACAGGCGCCACTTCTAACCCTCACAGATCTGCATCCTACACACAGAAACACGGCGGTCAGAGGGGCCCACTGCGGCTGGAAAGGAGCAGAGCAGGAATTCAAAGCTGGTTCGCTCAGGAACCGGTAACGTGTCGTCACCGGCAGGCGGTGTAACAAGAGCTGCAGAGTGTGAGAGAGAGGAAGCTGCTCGGGAATCTGCTGCGCGGCCTGACCAAGCGGGAGGTCTGTGTTCGGAGGGGATGTGGGCGCCTGTCCGACCACGCCTGCCTGTGTCACGGAAGGCGGCCCTGGGCTCTCACCCTCCTCCAGGCCGTGCAGTGCGCAGTGCTCCCGAGCCTGCTGCCTTTCCACCGCAGACTGACCCTCCGCGGCGACTGCATCAGAATGTGCGTCCTGGAACCGGCCGGCGAAGCTCATCCGGAAAGATGCTTTGTTTGGAGCGGTGGTGTTTTTAAAAATTTCAGATTAATTGCTAACTTTTTTTTTTTTAATGCAGCAAGTCACATAGAGCTCCAGATTATTTAATTACCTCGAAAACTCCCGAGCTGTGATGGCCCTGGGCCTCCATCCCCACAGGCCGCCACTGGTCGGAGTTGGTTTGCCACAGTCCCCACACCCAGCAGTCTGTGCCGGGCCGCCGCCTCCGGGAGGCATCGCCCTTCTCCCACCAGCTTCTCACCCTGGAGGGGAGAGGGAATGAATGTCCTGTGCTCCATCAAGTGGGAAACAATTAAAGGGCCGTAAGGGAGACTACGTGTTTCTGTGTAAAAATAAATATTTCTGCACATGTATTTCTACCAAATAAAACATAACCAAAGAAACAGACCAGGCCGTTTTTTTGGGGAGGGAGGGGGGTCTCTTCCTGGCTGTTTGGGTATTTGATTTTAACACTTCTTTAGGGGCTGTTGGACCCAGTTGCGCGCCTGCAGGGTGGCCTGGGACCCCAGGCCCAGAACTGCCCCTCAGCCTCCTGCACAGCCCTGGGGAAGCTGAAGCTTTCCCCATCATGGTTCTGATCTTTTATTTTTTTTTCCTTCTCTAGGTGTTCCCTTCCCAAAGAACTTCCTCCAGATCTGCAAGAAGATCCTGTGCCGCCTTTTCCGGGTCTTTGTCCACGTCTACATCCACCACTTTGACCGGGTGATCGTGATGGGCGCCGAGGCCCATGTCAACACCTGCTACAAACACTTCTATTACTTCGTCACAGAGATGAACCTCATAGACCGCAAGGAGCTGGAGCCCTTGGTGAGTGGCACCGTACAGGGATGGCGCCCGGCCCCCGGAGCCCCGCTATTTGTCACGGTGCCCTTCCAGACCCAGGCCAAATCCCCACTAATAAGCACTTGTTAGCTGAAGGATTGCAGAATTGGATAGGCTGTAGAGGTCACTTAAAGGTCAGAGGGTGCCAAGATGTCCATGGCCACCAAATAAGGGTCTTAGCCCTGACCAGTGGCTCAGTTGGTTGGAGCATTTTCCCTACACCAAAAGGTGGTGGGTTTGTTTCCTCGGGGCACATACCCAGGTTGCAGGTTGATCCCTAGTCAGGGCGCTTATGGGAAGCATCAGATGGGTGTTTCTCACATTGATGTTTCTCTCTTACATCTTTGTCTCTCTCTTTCTCTCTCTCTCTCTGTCTCTCTCTCTCTCCCCCCTTGCTCTCTCTAAAATCAATGAAAAATAAAATAAAATAGAAAAAGTAAGGGTCTTAAATTCCCCTCAGAGAGGTGGCAGAATATAATGGGATTGCAATGGTTCGGGCCGAAGGGAGTAGCTTTAATTCTTAGCTCCAAACCAGTCACCTAATTACTTAATCCCTGAAGTGGACACCTTTGATCTCTCCTGTCATCTCTTACACTGTCATCAAAAGATGATCAGAAGCATTTTTTCAGTCGGTAAACAAACATTGAGTACCTACTGCTAGGCAGACAAGGTCAAGTACAACTGCCTTTGAGTAGCTTTTACTCCAGAGATGGAGACAGAAGTGAGCCTGGACAAGGCCTGTGATGTGGTTTTAATAGACTGTATTAGAACCCAGAACGTTCGATACAAAACTTTGCTGTATCGTGTAGGTGAAGGGGACTACGCTCATCTCCTTTGTAAATTATTTTTGCAGTTGGACTTAATCTGCACTTTAAAAATCAAAGCCCAGGGGCCTGTCATCTTTGTGACATGTGGTATCTTAATGTGAAGCCCCATCACAGCTATTTTAGGCAGCTCTACGGAGTACTTTTTTAGCCAAAATAATACACTGTTTTATGGTAAAATCATGCTTTCTTCTTGAAACATTAAAGTGGCAGTTTTTCTAAATGTAGCTGGTAGAGCAGCTAAATTCCATCCAAGTGCAGCTGAATCGTGGCCAGAAGGCAGGGGCCAGGCTGTCATCCTTCGAGCTACCTTATCATCCTTTCTCTTTATGTGCATGTTTCTAAAATATAGCTTTCACTGTTATTTATGTATGGCGAGGCCTGCAGATCCAACTATCAAAAGATAGTTTGTTATGCTCACAAACCCCAAGAGAAGGGGCGCATTCTTCACGGGGGCCACACAGGGAAGCAGCCGGGCCGGTCAGAGGCAGAGGGAGCAGGGAAATGTGGGCATGAGTCTTTATGGTGGTTTCCCTGGGGAGGAACGGGTACGGGTACGGCGGAGGGTGAGTGAGTTTAAGGTGGATTCCTTTGAATAATTGCAGTGGGCTCTGGGCCTCTGGGCTACCCTGGTTGTCTGGCACCTGGCCCTGGGGTGAGGAGGGCAGGGCAATGTTAACCTGTGTGAGAGGAGATAGGGAAGGGGGTTGGGGTGTGGGTTCTGTTGGTTTGTATTGATTAGTGAGTAAACAGCTTGAGGGTGAGTTATTTCCTATCTCCAGGAATTGGACTGCCCCTGGGACCTCCACCATCAGTAAGACCCCAGATGTTAAAGGAGTCCAAATACAAAAAGTAAAAGACTTGTTTAACACAGGGCCTGCATCTGGCAAAGAAGGTTTGGTGAATTCATTGGTCACCTTTAGAGTTTCTGAACTTGAAATCGTTATAATGCTAGGAGAGTACCTGGTAAAATATTTTTCTTTGCATCACTCAAGAATTCTGGGAGACAGAAAGACTTTCTGGGTACAATTGAGATATGTCATTGGCTAAAGAAGTGCTCATTTTCTTCATTTTTATTTATAGCAGCTTTTTAGAAAGCTCGCGGGGGCAGGAAATACGATGTCTCTAAATTTGGTGGAAAGAAGCTGAAGTGCATCATGAGAGTTTTGCTAGTTGTCCTGGGTAAAGCCTGCTGGGGAAAGAGCTACTTCCGGAAGAAAAGGTCGTGCGAAGAGATCAAGGCAGTTAAGATGCAGGAGAGAGCGATAAAGCTAATTCTCGGAAATGTCAAGGATGAAGGAAAGCGTGGTAGGGGCCATGTAACCGAAGAGAACAGAGAACTACTCTGATCTCACGGAGAATGCAGTTCTGCTTTTGGAGAGTTTTGTCCTCTTCTGTTGGCACGTTCGGGTGGAGGGGAAAGACCTTCCTCTGACAGGGGTCCCCAGGAGGAAGAAGCTCTCCTAAGCACGCACTGTTTGGGTTCCACTGAGCTAAAGGAGCAGAAACATCAGACAGGTAGATCTGAAAATCAATTTCTACCTGTACGGAAACATAACGTCCATTGCTGGATGGACAAAGCTGATGTAAGTCAGCAGGCAGAGAAAGTCCTTTCTTTGCCATCAGACAACTTTGTTATTTTCTGAAGAAGAGGCCACAGGCGTTCTGTCACCTGGCCATGAGGAGCTGGCTGAAGTCTCAGAGTCACAGAAAGGCCCCCCAAACCCTGTATTCTAGATAAGAACTTCTTTGGGGAAAACAGAAATGTAGTTGGATTAATCAGGAATTATTAACAGTGGAAGTGAGTAAGAAGAGCATCAGGGTTTTCCCCCCTGAAGCTTATATTTCTTGCTTCAAACAGTGTCCTTCCTACCCTTATGCTCTGTTAATTATATTACAGGGAGACTCATTTTAACGTTTTTACATAGTAACAGCAGTGTTTTTAATGCTTAATTATCTGAAATTATGTATTTATTTTTACCCAAACCAAAACCTATAAAGTAAAAGAAAAAACATCGGGCTCCGGATACTTAGCATAGCCCAGCGTACCTGTGAATTGTTGTCACTGAAGGGAGCTCTTTTAATAGCTGGCAGCACCGAACACCTGACATCTAAATCTACTGTTGCAATGTCACATATCAGCATTAGTCACAGCGTATCAAATCACACATTTTGATTTGATTTGAATATATCAAGTAGCAGTACATGCAAAGTAAGTGGTTCAAATGTTCTAAGTACATAAGAACGATATATTTTGAGAATTTACAAATGCACTCTTAAAAATGCCCTCTCTGGTATAGTTCAGTGGATCGAGCGTGGGCTTGAACACTGGAGGGTCATGGGTTCGATTCCTGGTCAATGGCACAAAGGGCATGTACCTGGGTTGCAGGTTCAATCTCCAGCCCCAGTTGGAGACCCGTGTGGGAGGCAACCAATCGATGTTTCTCTCTCACATCAATGTTTCTCTCTGTCTCTCTCCCTCCCTCTCTCCCTTCCATTCTCTCTAAAAAAATCCGTGAAAAAATGGTCTTCGGGTGAGGATTAACAACAAAAAAAACCCTAAAAGTAAAATAATGACTGCTGCTCATCTTCAGCCCTTGAAGGATGACAGCGAAGTCAGGCATTTAGCTTCACAGTCTAGTCGTACATTCTTTAGACTCAAATGCAGCTGAGGACCAAAGGACAGACTTTTCCGACCAGTTTCCCTTGGCACATCGGCCTTTCCAGCATTCCCTCACCTCCAGTGGGACAGTCCTGCTGTCGTGCCTGGGGATCCCACAGTTTAGAATCAGGGACCCCACCTCCTGTCTCTCTCCACCATGCCTTCATCACGTGCACCCACACTCCCCTGCCCCAGAGCCACCCAGCGGTGTTTGTGTGGTGTTGACTGGGTGTCTAGCACACTATGTTGAGGGTCCAGCTCCCCACAAGGGTACAGATTCCGTTTCAGACAGTGCCGGGAACAAAGCTCAAGTCTCTGGATGCAGACCCTGGAGACTTCTATTACTAACTTGCAATCCTGAACAAGACAGTAGTTGACTTTTCAAAGCATCATTTCCTTCATTCATAGAATGAGTATAATAATAGAATTGTCGTAAAAATTAAATGGTTTAGTCGCACAGTAGGAGCTCAGGAAATGTTAGCTGCGAAGTGGGATGATGAAGGTGAAGTAGCTGGCGTCTGGTAAGCAGACGTCCCCTCAGGCTCCCTTCTCCAGGTCCGTGGCCTCTGCCCTCTTAGTGATCCCTGGGTAGCCTGGCAGCAGACCCAGCTCGCTGTGTCCGTGTCTCCCTCTTTGAGGGCTGGGAGTGTACATGACGCAAGCTTGCATTCCTCTGTTTGCTGGTACATATGTATGCTAACAGTATTTTCGGATTGCTCTGTCCTTACCAAGAGTACTTTGTGGGTGGCACACCTCCATTCAAAGGGGTTACACACGAGACATTCATTCCCTGGGACCTCCCGCATCTCAGAACGTGCCTGCAGACCCGCACGAACCCACTGTTGGAAGTGATGCTTCGTCCTGTCGGATTAGCAGAGGAGACGAGAAGCAGCATAAAGGTGCAGAGCAGTGAAGGGATCCGTTTAGGCCTGGCAGGGAAACATGGGGCCCTGGCTCCAGCCGGTTCTCTGTTCCAGATTCCAGCTAGATCACCCCGGGAATGTTAAATGTTCTCGCACTGCCTGTGCCGTGGTGTGCCGGGCATAAGGGGACCGACCCTCCAAAGAGTTAGCATTAAAAATCTCACGTCCTGGGAAAACTCAGTCCCTGGCACACTGGGACCATTTTCAGAGTCCATCAGGCCTCTGGGTGGGAATACAATTTGGAATTCAGGAGCGGGGAAGAGGTCACCCTGGCCAGCGTCCGAGGAAGGCCAGGGCGGCCATCCGCCCCCAGGGCTTGCCTCGTGGCTCCCGCTGGGACCTGCGCTGGCCCGCAGCAGCTGGGAACCCGGAGAATCACGTAGCACTTCACTCGGTCTCCATCCGGAGGGGAGGCTGGAGGGCTGACGCAGGCACTGATGTGACAAAGGACCCACTTCTCATGTCGATGCACGTTGAACTCCAGCAAGTTCACAGTTGGAGGGAAGGAGTCCAGATGATCTGGAAATTAGAAGACGGGCCAGGCCCTGATGGAGGGAGCAGGCCGCGCCGGCCTCG